AGTGCAGCGTACTCGCGCGAAATGGAGGTGACGTTGTCGACGCGGATGGTGTTGGAGGGACCACCGGGGAAAAGGGGCTTCTGCTCGATGGCGAGGAGGGGCTTGAAGACCTCCGGTTCGATGACGGGCGGGTCGCTCTTTGTGTATTGCAGGCTATTGCCAATGAACCAGCTTCGTGTGACATTGCTGAGGACTAGGTTGTTGATGTAGTGCACGTAGGGGTCATATGGATGCATCGAGGCGAGGGCCTCGTGGGCCTTGAAGTGTTTCTTTCGCGTGGAGATGTCGTGGAAGGTCTGACCGCCCCAGAACTTGCCTTGCGGGAAGGTTTTCATGGTGATTGCGGTGACGACGCCAAAGTTGTTACCTCCGCCGCGGAGGGCCTTCCAGAGATCGGGGTGCTGGCTCGCGCTGGCGTGGACAATGTCGCCGTTTGCAAGTACGACTTCAAACTCCTCAACCACATCACAGATGAAGCCGTAGCGGGGGGAGAAGAAGGAGGTTCCACAGTTAAGGACAGCGCCGCCCACACCTACACCCGCGACGCGGGCGCCGAGGGTGCTCAGGTCAAAGGGATCGAGCTGCTCCGTGACCTGGTCCCAGGTTTGGCTGGGACTCACGGTGATGGTCTTGTGGTCGGCGGAGATGCCGGCAGCGGGGATATTCTTGAGGTCAATGACGATGCCGTTCTCCATGTTGGCGGCACCCTTGAAGGGGGTGTGGCCGCCACCACGAATAGCGAATTGACATTTGCCGTTCCATGCTTCGGCACCGGCCGTGAGTGTGCGGACCGCGAGCGATACGTCGTGGGCTGACTCGGGCATGACGACGCATGCTGGCTTCAGGTCGGCTTCTTTGAGGCTGAAGTATGAGCCGATAGAGGACTTATAAGCTGGGCCGTTGGGGAAGGCGACAACGTCATTGCCCATCGATTTAGCCAGAGCTTCGCACTATTGAGAGACAGTTAGTATGATGCCTCGTAATAGAGAGATACAAGAAAGAGTACTCACACAAGTCGACGATGAAGCCACGGCTCCGTGAACGTTGCTTCCAGGGTTGACATTGCTGCCTCCAAGAGGGGATTGCACAGAGTCAACTTGGAAAGACGACAGGCCTGGCAGGCCAAGCAGAATCTGTTGGAGACCTGCACCAAACATGCTTGCTAACTCTTGGAAATGATCTGGCTGTACTGCGCTGCAATGGACGATGCCAACATTAATCACCAGGCCCATTGATCGCGAGGGAAGCTGCGAATTTCATAGCATTCACTGATCGGGTAATTAATTACTCGGCTTTAGTCTCACTGGTCGACTTGCCGAGCTTTGCTTGTTTCCCGCCCATTCTGAAATTGCCTTTTCGGGACAGCGGGAAATGCACGTACGGCGACCGACCATCCTGTTCCCGGCTGCGTCTCCGTTTCCCGGGACGGGCCCAAGCTGCTTGATTATACCACCTTTTGCCTCCATAAAGCGCGAGGAGACAGCATCAATGTAATTGATAATTGTTGAAGCTGCAAGTTTCAAAAGACAAGAGCCTAGCAGAAGCGATTTGTAACTATCGAAACTCCAAAGATGCCAGGCCGTACCACTGATACGCCCATCCGCAAGGTCGCACTCGCAGGCGTGAGTAATCGACCTTTCAGCTAAAGCATCTGCCCGCGAAAGCAACTAACAAGAATGACAGAAAGGCTACGTAGGCGAAAAGATTTACGATGAACTGGTCAACGCCGGGTATGATGTTACTGTTCTATCACGATCTAACCCGGAAAACGCGCCGAACGTCCGCGTCGTCGACTACACCTCCACAGAAAGCGTCACCGACGCCCTCCGCGGCCAGGACGCCGTCATCTCCGCCATCAACCCCGCGGGATGGCCGCACCAGTACAAACTCATCGACGCCGCCGTCGAGGCTGGCTCGGTGAAGCATTTTATCCCCAGCGATTTCACTTCCCTGTCGACGAACCCCGCAGTTGCCGAGTTCCCTTACTACAAGGACGCAGTGGCGATCCAGAAACACCTGAAGAAAAGGGCAGACGAGAGTGGGATGAAGTGGACGATCATCGCCACGGGCCCTCTTCTTGGGTGCGTGCTGAACGGGAATTACATGTACAACTACCAAGAGCAGACCGCGCTGCAGGTCAGCGACGTGACGCACCGTGTTAGTGTGACGCGACGACCTACCCTCGCCAAAGCCGTCTCGAACATCTTTGCCAAGTCTAGTGACATGGAGAGCGGCGCCATCTTCATCCAGGACTATACTACGTCACAAAAGGAAATGCTCGATATCGCCGAGAGGCTTTCTGGCAAAACGTGGCCTGTTCAGCATGTTGATGGGGAGGAGAAGCTCAAGGATGGGCTTGCTATGTTCAGAAGGGCGGAGGCGGAAGGGACTACGCCGCCCATCTTTGCTACGTTTCTGGTCATTCATAACACCATTTTTGGCGGAAAGTATAATACGGCTTGGGATAGCAAGGGGAACAGATTTCTCGAGTTGCCCATCATGCCGAAGGAGGAGTTTGAGGAACTGATTGCGACGAGAGTCCGGAATGAGCCTATCGACGGCGGACTGCCCTGGAACTCGGCCCCGAAGCCTAGAAATGCGGCTTAGGATGGCCAATGTTAGATTCTTGTTGCACAGCACTCAGATAGCAAATTGAAAAATCCATTGATAAGGTAATTGGAAATTCTTATAACAAAAAGCGCATTTACCATTGTGACAAACATAATTTAACACAATTTGTTTTATTAAGGGGACTCAAGCTATATAATCGGCTCCAAGTGCTGATTTCGAATTTCAGGCTTTCCAGACAACGAATTGGGGGCACGAGTAATGGTGGTCAACTTACAACGCGTGGGGTCAACAACAATTAGTCATTGGTCCCGTTCGCGTAGGTAAATCGAGCAAAAGGGAAAAGCAGGTATTGAAGGATTACAATCTCGATAGCTACTGTAGCAGCTCAAACGACTAAAGTAACGAAACAAGCTTGCAAAATATGTTAAAATCTATCTTCAATGCTACCTCAAGTCCAAAGATGGCGGCTGGAAGCCATTCCACTCCAGATAAGGCGTCGGAACTTGAGGGAACTCGTCAATCCCGTCCAGCATGACAACACCCATCCCGCCAGCGTGGTGAGTCTGCACATGGCAATGCAAAAGCCAAGCGCCAGGGCTCTCCACCTTGTACCTCACGACAGTCCACACAGCAGGTGCATCTCCGGCGATATCAGGCGTCGTGAAGGTATCCTGGTACGACGGATCCTCAAAGTTGAATACCCCGGGCGGAAGAGCTCGCTCCGCTTCCTCAACGGTGGCCCAGGGAAACTTGCCGACCCCGGAGCCGAGGAAGTAGACCTTGTTGCCGTGCTTGTGAACCGGGTGGCTCTGCGCAAAGGGGCCTTCGGTCTCTAAGATGATGTCAATCCACTCCCCGACCTGGGTGCGGAGGATGAGCTCGCTCTGGGGCACCTCGTTGGGTTGTCTGAAAAGGAATGGCGGGTCTCGTTCCTCGGCTGTCATGTTGTATACTTCTTGACCTGATAGACTCCATTCGTATGCTCCGTAAGGGCGGCCTGGCTTCCTCAGATACAGCTTGAATGTGCGATCCGGTCTGCGAGCGGGCTGTTGGGATGGAAATGGACGACCCTCTTCGGGTTTGAAAGAGCGGATATTTTTGATGAGAGGCTGTCCTGCATAGTTCATCTTGGGCTGGGTATTTCTTGGCTGCTGTGTCGCTCCGTCGTACGCCAACTCGGCAAAGCCCCCAAGAATCTGGTTGAGAAGGTCGTTGGCCATCCTTATCATGTATCGGGCTGGCTCCTGGTCTAGTTCCACGAGGACCGAAATCCGATTGCCATTGCCAATGTAAACACGGTCTGTGACAACAGGCTTGATGTATTGACCATCGACAGCATATACATATAGATCGTGATTATCGATAGAGACTTGCAGAGGATATAGCCCGCCAACATTCATAAACGTGAGGGCTGCCCAGCCTTCCTTGCTGTCGACATTGACGGTGAAGTTTCCCTTGGAATTTCTGCCGCCTACGCATTTTCGGATTGACTCGGCGGGCAGCTTGCCTAGGTGCACATCATAGTCACCTTGAAGTGCCTGGATCGGAGGCACGCAACCCTTCGCAGTCATATGGTCCTCGCCGAGATCCTGCAGCATCTTAAGAATAATAGGGTTCGTCATGCTGTCTAAGGATTCCGGGTCAAGACAGTACTGTGACCCAATGCCGTTGACAATGATTGCATCCGTGCAGGCGAGATCGAAGTTGGCAATCTCCTCGATATGGTAAAAGTCATCAAACTTGTACTGACTCCAGTCGGCGAGTAGTAGCGGCTGCATGTTCTGCTCAGCTCTCCGCATTGCCTGTTGAGCCTCCAGGCTCCCATCGATGAGGTGGAAAGGCCTGTCAACTTCCGGTAGTGCGTCGACAATGACCGCGCCGTAGAGGCCATCCATCAGCTGTCCTTTCGAGTGAGCGTGATAGAAGAACGTTCCCGGCTGCTCTGCGGTCCACTGATAGCGGTACGAGGCACCGGGATGGATTTGACTCTGAGTGAGGCCCGGTACTCCATCGCTCCAAGGTGTCTTGCGTTGATCGATGCCGTGAAAGTGTATGGTTGTGTCTTCCTGTAGATAGTTGCGGACTATGACCTCGACCTCATCCCCTTGCTTGAGATGCAGAGTAGGGCCAGTGAAGCTGTTATTTACGAGAATGGCAGCTCGTGGACCAGCACCGAGAGCGTCCACTTGGCCTGCTGTAAGATGGAGCTCGAAGCGCACGGTGCGCTGTACTGACTGCTGGACGTTGGACGTCCCAGCGTCCAGCGATGTTGCCGATGACCAGCTGGATAACGGCCAAGGCAGAAGGTAAGAAAGAAGATGAACAGGGTGCATTGTGATACTGATATTTCAAAACTTGGTGGACCTATTGGAACAAGGAAATATGACGAGTGTGTAAGTGCCTCTGGTTAGAATAGGATAGGCCAGACCATGAAGCAGGTGGGAGCTGGTGTAAGTTGGAGGCTTGGGCGCGGGAGGGCATGAAGCTTGGTCGATGCCATCTCACAGGGAAAGCACATGCGTTAGACTCGCTGGAACTTGCCGAACACTTGTAGCGAAGATGGCCCAGCGGGAATTGAAGACCGGTCGGTGCTGAGTCGAGTATCATAACCCCGAGCCTGCCCACAGCCATTACATTTCAGACAATAGTTCATCAATCGTCTGTACACGTTTCCCTTCAGTAGCACTCCGCTCGTCAACTTCAGTCCGTTATCTTATTCTGACTTCATTTCCGCCTTCTTGCTGCAGGAAATGCGGCTCTCACTTATAGCTCTTGCAGCGGTGCTGCTGGGCAGTGCATCAGCCAAATCCCTAAGCCAAGCTCTAATCAGCCATGGGTCGCTATCGATGCTTCACGATCTCCTGAAGGACCTAGATTTACTGGAAAGGTTCCAAACCGCTGAGAGGTCGACGTTCCTGGCAATGACGGATGACGCGCTCGTTGGTCTCGCCAACTGGGGTTTAAACATGAGCACTATCGACCCAGCACTAGCCAGTGCCATTCTTGAGTACCACTTTCTAGAGGGAGTCTTCACGTCGTCAGATCCTTCGTTGAAGACGGACGCCCAGCTCGCTCACTCTGTCTTGCGCCCACCAATTTTGACAAACGTCACAGATGGCCCGGCGGTGAAGCTCTCCATCATCGACGGCTCATTATCCGCAGAATCTGGCATCCAAAAGGTCATGCCAATCAATGAGTCGGACATTACCTACGACAATGGCGTCCTACACACCATCGATAGCAACCTTGTTTTGCCGCATAACCTCTCAGAAACCACCAACCTGGGCAACCTGCATAAGTTCTGGGACCTAGTTGAAAGATCAAAAACCAGAGAGATTCTGGAGGCCATGAAGGACGTGACTGTCTTTCTGCCGGATGACAAGGCAGTACGACAGTGGAGCTCCGCGTTGGGATCTCTTACACCGGAGCAACTGGCAACGATAGTCGCAAATCATGCCATTCCCAACCGGGTTCTTTATCATAGCGCCTTCTCTGCTGAAGGGAACGAGTACAAGACTTTGAGTGGGATGAAAGTCACCGTCAGTCGTGACTCTCGTGGTAACATCTTCGTTAATGAAGCAAAGATCCTCAAGGAGGATGTGCTCATTTTCGGTGGCGTCGCCCACATCCTCGATGGGGTCTTGGTTCCCTCGGGGCACAGAGGTAAGTTCGAAGTTAAGTCCAAGTTATCAGAGCCTTGTGTGTTAACTTCGTTTTGTAAATTCAGCCTGCCAATCGCTGCTCAATGAGCTTCGGGCCTACACGGCTTTGTATCCGTCTTCGTGGAAGGTCATGGGGAAGACATTTGTCGTGGCCACAGGTGCCTTCTCACTGACCGTTCTTGCATTCCTCACGGTAAGGAATCGAAGGAGCAAGAGACGGTTGGTTTCCTCGGCGTGGACAACAGCAAGCTGGGAGGCACACCTGCGAAGCATCACCAGTGAAAAATATCAAGACGTGTACGCTTAAGTGAACGGAATACAATTCTATTATTTGGACAATTATCGCGATTTCCGTCAATGGTGTTGTGGTGACCACGTAATAAGTACCACTGAACGCCTGTTTAATGGACCCCTCAACTGCTGTTGCTTGACTCCCACACCTAACATTGGAAAGAAACGCACCACAGCGCATAGTTGATCAAGCCACCTAACGTGCTTAAGTGCTAATCTGATTACATGTTCTCAGAGTTCTGTAGGCTTTCAAAAGCCATGATCCGTAGGGATACTCATGTCGTAATCGATTCCAACCGGCTTGGCTGAGCCACAAGGTACCAGCGGCCCTCAAGTTACTGATTGACTTTGCCGAAGGACGGCCCTATGGCGGCGACTGGGTTTCGGGGATCGATTGCCGCACCCAACACAACTAGCCCTTTAGCAGAATTCAGCCTAAGCAAAATACAATTGTTGATAGGTGGTCCCTCCATGCTTTTCAATGGCTACGTTTCGCTCGGGAAAAACGTCGAAACGGTACAAGGAGCAGATCCCAGGCCTTATCCCAATGATACGGTAAGATCAGCGCGTCAGTTCAACCTAGTCAATTACACGTTCCCGGAACAATCGGGAAGCATTCAGGTATGAAGCAGAGCAAACCCCGAGCTATATGTGCAACGGCTTTAGTGACCAGCCCCTAGGAAGGAAAATGATGCTCATTTGAACCTCTTAATTGCGTGATCCGGCTTCCACGGCAACTGGTGTTCAAGGTGTAACACGGCAGACGGGCTTCAGCGGTCGGGCTGTTCCTATACGACCTGAGCCATGGTCACCGTGTCCTCGTGAAGTCTGCCCCTGTAATAAAGCAAAGCGGCATTGGGCCCTTCGCCTGCGGAACGAGATTACTGTCAAATCCCCCCAAGACCTCCAAGAACATTCTCAGTGATTCAGGTGGGTGTTCTCACTCATTTGCTAAAGTGAAGTCCGCATTTCTATATCTACGATCTTTGGACAAATTGTAACTTACTCTATTCCCGTTCACCATTCTCTCTTCAAAGTCAATCTTTCCATTCTTTCCTTTTGTATATATCTTAAACCTCTGTGACAATCAGCTCAGTGCAAGGTTTACATCCACCATGGCGCCGCCAGCAGACGAAAGTCCAGCAGAAGTCACCTACGCAGATGAGCCACTGTCCCTCGACGAGCAAGTCATCGCCAAGATTCAAGGCGGGGACTTCATCGTCGACTGGCTCAGCCCAGATGACAAGGGCTGCCCCCAGAACCTGCCCATACCCCGCAAATGGCTCATCACGCTGGTGCTGGCGCTGTATGTGCTATCGACGACCTTTTCGTCGTCCGTGTTCAGCGCAGCTGCTGGCGTAACTGCCGCTGAGTATAATACCACGGTGCAGAACATGGTTTTTGGCGGCACTTCGCTCTTCATGCTTGGGTTTGCTGTTGGCCCCATCATCTTCGGGTATGAGAGCCTTACCCCTGCATCCCTCGCCAATGAGCTGTGAAAGTGCCTGGGCTAACGACTTCCACCCTACGTTACAGGCCTCTTTCGGAACGCTATGGGCGAAAGCGCCCCTTGATGGTCGGCTACGTGACCTTCGCCCTCCTCCAACTCCCGGCAGCCAGTGCACAAAGTCTGTACACAATCTTCGTATTCCGCTTCCTTCAGGGTGTCTTCGGCGCCGCGCCGTCCGCCATTCTGAGCGGCACACTCGCCGATATCTGGACCCCGAAGCAGCGGGGCTTCGCCATGCCCTGCACGGGAACCTTTCTCATGATCGGGCCCGTCCTCGGTCCCATGATCGGCTCGGTCATTGTCAAGAGCCCGCTACTGGGATGGCGGTGGATCTTCAACATCACGGCCATCTTTGCCCTTACCGTCGCCGTGGTCACATATCCAGCTTTGACCGAGACGTATTCCCCGATCCTCTTAGAAAGACGAGCAAAGCGAATGCGTCATATGACGCGCAACTGGGCTCTGCGAGCAAAGTCTGAAGAGCAGGAGAGCAATCTCAATGACATTGTCGAGAAGTGCCTCTCGCGTCCGGCCAAGATGCTCTTTTTGGAGCCCATCCTCTTAATGATGTCCACTTACATCTCCGTCGTTTTCGGTATGCTACGATCTTAAACACGTTTGCAACAAACCATTGACTAACGACATCCTAGGACTCATGTACATCTTTTTCCTCGCCTACCCAATGTCTTTTGAACGCGAGCGCCATTGGGACTCCACGTCTGCCGGCCTCCCGCTCCTTGCCATCTTGTTGGGTACGATCCTTGGTGGCGCGCTCATCATCGCGACAGTCAACACCAAGTTGTCGCCGGATCCTAAGGCTGGCCGCCCACAGGAAAACAGGCTGTTGCTGATGATGATCGGGACAGTCTGTCTGCCCGTCGGTATGTTCTGGTTCGCGGCGACGAGTTCGCCATCGACGGACCCCTGGCCGCAGATTGTTGCGGGCGTACCTATCGGTATTGGCATCATCTTGATAAACATGCAGGGAATGAACTACATCGTGGACTGCTATGGAATTAACTCCAACTCGGCGATCGCGGCCAACACCTTCATGCGATCTCTTTTTGCGTCAGGATTTCCAGTATTTGCGTGAGTCTTCTCGAATTTTGCCCAAGCGTTTTACCGCCGTGTTTACTGACTGCATCAAGTACATCCATGTACACTTCGATTGGCGTCGCCCGTGCGACTTCACTGCTGGCTTTGTTTGGCGTAGTCTTAGCTCCTATCCCATTCCTTTTCTATCACTATGGGGACAAGATTCGAGCTCGCAGCAAGTGGTCGCCCTCGTACGGACGATGAGATTTCAGGCCCGTGTAACAGAGCGGGCACTGAATGGAGTATGTGTTGAACTTTATGTCGGAGGAGACAACAGTAGTTGATAGATAAGGCAGCTCTTGCAAACGCGCCGCATGTGGGATGGTTGTAAGTTGAGGCTGACTTGAGGTGATTTGAGGATAAGTAGATTGGAAATGAGGATTAGAACAGCATACGCATATCAACTAGTTCTCAATCTTATGTTAGAAGTCCCGAACTCATAATTTCCTAAGGCATACTGCAGATTATATTTGTACGTGTATCACTTAGGTCATTCGTTCGAATTCCATCTTTCAGGTGCCTCAACTCTTACCGGTCGTGGCTTGCCTCGAAGCTTTTTGAGATCTCGATGATTGAGTGCAACAACTGTTGGGCTAAATAGTTTTCTGATCTAAAAGGACACCAAAAGAAATTTAACAGTCCCTTTTCATTGATGCGAAGTTTGTAGTGAATCGATAGCTACCTTACATGATAGCAAGATGAAATCCATCGACGAGGCAATCAGCAAAGCTCAGGAAGGAGACTTGATTCGCCTAGCTAAATTCAATCATATGCTACAATCTACTTTAGTCCGTGCGCAGTAGCTATCCTGCCCTGCATCCTTCTACTCGCAGCTCTGGTCCTCCCAGAAGAGGAAGAATCGAGTCTCGATGCTCCGTCTCGCAGGACCGATATCATCAGGCGTAGGGAAAGCACTGTGAGGAGTGCGCCTAGCACGTCCATCCTTCTTAGAATCAAAGATCTTAATGAGAATAACATCGTCCCTCGTCATACCGCCGCGGAACCACCACTTATGCTGGTCAGGCGTTTCGGGCGGCGCAACCTGCCACATATGGTTCTCAGTAGGCTTGTGAGGCCACCGGAAGGGAACGCAGTGCATGGTATCGTGGAGCTCGTCGTCTCGAACGGATCTGGCATCACACAGGGCCAAAGGCTCGCGGTGGACCTCGTCCATGGGTCTCCAGAGGTTGACAATGGCCCAACGGTGCTTTCCGTCGTGCTTGGCGCCTTCTCCGGGAGGAAGGTCATCATAAAGGCGGCGCTTGGCGCCTAGGTCAGACTGGTCGATGTGGACGAAGCGGGCGGAGAGCAGACCTCCGTCTGTCATGGCCATGTCCGGCTTGTCCTTATCCTCTTCGGGGTCTGTGCTCTCCCACTGACGCTGGCGGATGATGTGGGAGATAACACGGACATCACTCGCTCCGGTCCTGATGGTTAGGTAGGTCAGTAAAAAGTTGCGAGTCGTCTTTTTCTAGGAGACACTTACAGCTTTCTCATGAACTCCTCACATTCGGCATTATAAATTTTATTGAGCTTTTCATCGATCGGACTCCACGGGAAGTCTTTGTACGAAGTAGGGAAATGCTCGAATTGGAATCCGGTCTTGTCCAGGCTGAACTCGGACTCCTTGCCACGAGCGTTGTAGATCTTGACCGGCCGCGGGTCGTATTTGCGGCGCATCTGGGCAAAGGTACCGCCCCAGATCATTTCGTCGCCGCCCTTGGTGGGGCACAGACGATAGTTGAGGGTGGCATCGTAAGACTCCTTGTTCAAGTTGTACACGCCAGCGAGCTTTGCGCGCTCCTCGCTGTCCTTCTCCGCGAGCTCGGTAGCGGTGTACTCGATCTTGTCTCCGGAGACTTTGAGCTTTCTCTTGACTTCGGTGTCGAGGAAGGCCAGCTCGTCCTTTGTGGCGTAGTTCAGTTCAAGAGTAGGCATGATGGGCAAATTATTATTGGTGCAGACTTATGAGCTTGACTGTCGAAGTGGTGTAAACGTCCGACAAACACTTGCACAAGTTGACCTTTAATATCCTATAATTCGGTGCGCTTCGGCCGTAGCAGCAGGCCTTCCGAGCTTCATATCGATCACGGCGTTCTTGTCACCGATGCATCAAGTGCCGGGCTATGTTCCCTGGTTTTTGCGGTGATTGAGTTCCCGGTCGCTGTGCACGGGTCTCAGTTTCGATGAAAGGTGTTGCCGGTGGATACAGACAGGTGACCCCTACGAAATCACAATCTTGCACATACATGGCTGGCCCAGATCCGGGTATCTTGAGGATGAGACGAAGATCGCGATGTAAAAGGAGCTCACTGGACCGTCTAATGACCCTGGCCGAAGGTTCTCAAGTTGTTTGTTCCGAGGCCATAGTACGGCAGACAGCAGTAAGAAAAGTAAGAAACTTCATTGGACCTGTCTGGAGCCACAGATAGTGTGGGACCTATCGCTACGTGTAGGCTCCACGCTCAACTCTTGTAGGTTGGCATACAGCTATTGGGAATCCTTCGAAGGTGGTGAGGAAATGGCCATACGACATATCAGCTGTCCATTGATATTCCTCTCAGTTGGAATTTCGGGACACATCTTCATTTGTTCAGGGAAGCTTGACTTGAAAACATTGCTGAGGAGCGTCAATGACTTCAAGTTACAGTAGCCGTTAGGGTCTGCCTTACGATGCTTCGACATGGCTTCCTACGCATACGTATCGCATCTAGAAGAGCAAATAATGAAAACATGAACCTTGATACATGCACGAAGAAATAAGTGTTTCGATCAAAGAAATAAGATATTCATGGTAATTTGGACAACTTTAGACAACAAAGTAATGGGTCTATTCCAGTTACTCTTCGGCCAACATGCTAGAACGTATAGTGCTCTGCCCATCCCACAACACAGCTAAGTTGAGCATCAGCAATTGAGGGAGCTAAGTCAATTTGCAGCCACGGATGATTTTCAACTTACCGACTCCGGCTCATATCAGCGAAATTAAAATGGTCAGGGATGAACTTGCCCAAAAAGTCAGGATCGTCACGCATTTTCTCTATGCACCCAATATTGGGTACGATTATTGAGATGACCGAATCGTAATCCAGTAACATGGCACTAGGCGCGTCAGGGAACAGCTTCTTGAAGTCTGCTTTGGCGGAAGCATCGTTGTGGGTCTATTGACGTGTTAGACAATCTGTTCGACGAACGCAGGACGTTCAACATGCCACAGTATAGGATACAGCTCCATATTTCTCAAGAAGTGGTTTGATGATCGGAGTATTTACGCTCTCAATATGGTTGTGATGGCTCTGCTCATCTTGATCTGCTTTCTTATACACGTAGATGCTATAAGCAAAGTTGCGCTTTGGTTGTTCGAGAGAGCCCATGCTGTCTGTTTTTGAGGTTTAGTTGTCGGAATGAGATTTCAGGGATCCAGACGGCGGCTCCCACAACGCAGGCCTTGCGGAAGGGGGACATCACCTTTTAGATATCTGCAGTGCTCTTCAAATCCGGAGCTCTCCTTTCTCGCGTTCTGTCCCAAGCTCCAAGCTCGGCTCCAGTCCACATATGCATCCTTTGGCAGCGTGGCTACTATGGGCCCTAGCGCTGAGTCGGGCACTGCGAAAGTTCACAGTTCCCCGGCCCGGTTACCGCGGGCGGGAAACATCGCCCAAAGAGCTCTGGGCTGCTAAATCGTCTACCTGCCGATAATCTCAACTTTGTCGACGGCAAAAGCCTCGATTCCGCGTAGCCTCCGAGTTATAGTTCAGAGTGCAAATTGTGCGATCGCCGGCTCGACATTTGGATCAGGGAGATATTGACAAGACAGTCTGATGCATCTCGTTTGCTTTCTACTTGGATATGATATAAATGCCAATATTCCTTGACTTTTACTTCGTCTGCTCACCACCCAATTCTTCAGTTAACACATAGACCAGACAATCGTCTATCGTTCACTGCAGCACCACCACTTTCTCTCCACTTTAGAATACGCAACATCTCATATCTCATATTTACAACTCTCTTCACGATGGCTGACCGCAAGATTGTTCTCATCACTGGAGCCAACAAGGGCCTTGGATACCAAGCAGTCAAGACATTGCTTGGGTCCAAGCAAAAGTACCACGTCTTCTTAGGCAGCCGCGACTTTGCCAAGGGAAAGGCCGCTGCTGAGACTGCTGCGGCTGAGGTCAAGTCTAACAGCACTGTGGAGCCACTCCAGCTCGATGTTGAAAGCGACGACTCCATCAGAGAGGCGTACGAGACTGTCGCCAGCAAGGTTGACAGGATTGATGCACTTGTCAACAATGCCGGTATGCCACTCCTGCTGTACTTTAGGGGTTAGGCTCCGGAGGCCTTAGACTAACTCTATTATCTTATTCAGGCGTCATGCTGGATCAACAGATTGAACGCGGCAACATGACGGTCCGCGAGGCCTACAATAAGTCCTGGGACATTAACGTCACTGGCCCCCACATCATCGCAGACACATTCCTACCGCTATTGCTCAAGTCTCCTGACCCTCGTCTCATCTTCAATACCAGCGGTGTGTCCTCGCTGGAAAATGCGGCCGACTCTTCTCACTTCACCTACAGGGTTCCGCCAGCCGGAATTCCCAAGCCTGTGGGCACCATTTCATACAGAGCGGCTAAAGTCGGCCTTAATATGGTCATGCTCGAATGGGTGCGCATGTTGAAGAACGACGGTGTCAAGGTCTGGTGCGTTGCTCCTGGCTTCTTCGCCACTGACATTGGCGAGGGTGATCCGGAGTCTATGAAGAAGATGGGTGCCGGAGACCCTTCCGCTGGTGGCAAGGCACTTGTTGATGTTGTTGAAGGAAAGAGAGATGCCGATGTTGGAAAGGTGGTGAACATGGCGGTTTACGGCACGCCTGTGCAGCCTTGGTAGTTGAGATGACTGAAAGTTCATCTAGATATAACTTGAAATTTCTGGCTACAGTGATGTTTACGACGGATCTCGTGAAAAAGCCTCGTCTCTGCCGTTATTATGGCGGATGTGCCAATTTAAGCCTTTTGCAAACATCGATACTATCTAAAAGACCCAAACATGTAATTCTAGTTGCCTTGGCAATTGCCTCAGAGAAGTAGCTTCAAAGACAATGTGATGCAATCAGATAACTTCGTATTTCCGCCCCTGATGCAGTCAAGATCGAAAGGCTGTCATATCGGTATTAGTGAACAATCAAACAGGGCCATCATACATTTGTGTCCATGAGATGAGGGCTGGTTCCATAAGGACTCACTGAATCTCAAAAAGCTCTTAACTCATCGTAGAATTTTTGTTCCGAGCCAGTTGTTGGATTGGCTGCGCGTTTCGGTCATTTACCGCCATTGTCTTGTATGCAAGGTAACACTGATAGTTCGATTTCCCTTTGGTCTTCTCAATTTGCCTATATCGCTGGATACATAAAGTATAGTTATGATCTCAGAACATTGCTAGTTCTCTCTACTCCAATTCTTGGTCCTCCCAGAACACAAGGCACCTGATCTCAATACTCTCCCGTGGTGGCCCAACATCCTTTGGTGTCTGAATTGCGGTGTGCGGCACCCGTCTAGCTCTACCATCCAGCTTGGTATCGAATATCTTGATCAGGAGCGCCTCGTCCGGGGTCATGTTGCTGGCGTAATACCATTTATGCTGCGGGCTCGCCACCATATGCCATTGCTCGTTGTCCTTATTAATGGTGTTGGGCGGCTTGCCCAGGACAATGCGTGTGGTGACGGGCCGAAGATCAGACTCTTCGACGCTTCGCGCATCACAGACCGCCAGCGGTTCACGTTGGACCAGCTTGAGTGGATGCCAGACGTTGATAATTCCCCACCGGGTCTTGGTCTTGGTACGGAGCATCTCTGCTTCGGGAAGCCGATCGAGCACCACCTCTGCCCCTTTGTACGATTGATCTTTGCTGCGTGAGTGCCGCTCTCTGAAATATCTATAGCGTTGTGGTACTTACCGACGTGAATGAACATGGCGGGTGGCTGCATGTTCAGGACCTGGGAGTCAGGAAGGTCATCCGGAATATTTAGAATCTTCTCATGAGGATCACGACGTATGACATGAGGGGCAAATGGGTGCACGTAGGTTGCGCCCGAGCTGTGTGACTTGTCAATTGATATCTTTGACAATCGATATATGGCTGTTCCTACTGTCTCATCAAGAGCTCTTGGACATCCTTCCGAAGCTGGTCGGGGAGACCAAATCTGTAGTCTCCCTCCCAGCTCCTTTCTTGAACAGTGCTCTCCACGACCTTAAAGCCCTGGGTGTCGAGATTGAACTCTTCATCACACGTGCGCATGTCTGTGACCGGAACGAGTTGTCGGTTGTACTTGGTGCGCTGAAAGCCCACAGTGGCGATCATCTGAACAGGAAATGCCTCGCCCTTAGGCGGCGGTTGGTGATAGTTGACATAAGCCTCAACAGACACCGGCTTCTGAGTGGAGTGCGGCATATTTGCAAAAGACAAAGACAATGATAGCTTGCTACAACGAGCTGGAAGTCGGATGTCCTGAGGAGAGTGGTGAAGCATTAGCCGCGGAATCGGTGGGAAGTGGAAAGCGGATAGTGGGAATGTCAGTCTTGCATTTAATGAGTCCACGACTCCCTTCAGTCGGGGATTGAAGACGTGCAACACGCAGAGCAAAAGTTTGCCCCGAGCCTGGACCCCGCAAGTAGGAATTTGTACCAGGAACTTACCGACTATCCTCAACTAACATTGACGGAGTCCTTGGCAGGCAATAAGGACTATTCAAAAAAGTCCTCGAGGCGCCGCTTCCAGAGACTCCCCGTTGACTCCCCGACTGAACTCACTCTGAACGCTACCAAGCAGAGCGGTCTGCGGATTATTTACGCCCTTGCTTTGCCGTTCGGACACGCAAATAGGTCCAATTCAAGCCCCGAGACAACAAAAACGGGCCGGGCCTGAATTCACACCATCAGTATAGAGTTTCGAGGTGCCGTAGTCGACCCTGATTGGTCAGTCTCTGATCAAATTGGCCAAGTTGGGCAATAAGTTCCCAACTTTTACCGGTCGGAGAACCTTGCGCGGTCACTGTTCGCCGGTAATACAGTTACCGATGACCCCAACTGCAGCTCTCACAGCATGTTCGTCGTGTGTCTTCGGGTGGAAAAGAGTCGAGGAGCTATCTGGCTTGATATCAATGCGGAGCTTCACCTCTGATTCAATTATGTATCACCGAACCTCGTCGCGATCCATCTGTGCTTCCGCTTAGGTTTTCCCAGTGAACTGATAAAATAAGATCGATCTAGTGCCAATTGTCTGATGTTCAGTCCACCTGGGGAGCCAGGGCTCCTAAAAACACGTTGTAAACTCCCGTACCCGACCATATGCTATGAGTATGTCGGGTTCAACTGGGGTCACAATCAAACTACAATTCCCGGCATTGATGCTGAGAAAATAACTCTAGATAGTCCTGTTGCCGCGCATTCCGAGGGAATGGTAACTCGAGAACGAGTCAAACAGAATATGCAAAGAAATAAAGCAACCCGATTACCTTGGTCATGGTGCACATCCCCCGAGTCAAAGATCTCTCTTCGTTGACAAAGACTTCTTTCCGCTGCAGCTCCATCCGTCAAGATACATATTGCCAAGACCTTGTCACCCAAAACACACGACGTCCCAGCTCTTCCAGCCAAACTTCGCAAACGCCAAGCACACGTCGTCCAAGCTCTTCTAGTCAAGCTTCGTGTACGAAAAACAGTCAAGACACAGCTCCGGAAGAATCTCAAGAAACATACTTCAACATGCCTTACATCCCCAACCTGCCTCAGATCCCCAATCGCTATGCCGCGGCACATGCCAACCCCCAGGGTGAAGGTGATGCTCGCCCGACTGCACTTCAGATCATTCAAGATGAAGGTCTGGTTGGCAAGTTGGATGACAAAGTGGCGTTGGTGACGGGCGGCACCAACGGCATTGGCCTCGAGATTGTTCGGCATCTAGCCAAGACCGGCATGAAGGTATTCTTCACTTCGCGTAACCTTGCGAAGGGTGAAAAGGTCAAGACTCAGCTGCAAGGTGAAGATGCCAGCCTTAGACTGGAGGTGGTGGAAATGGAATTGAGTAGCTTGAAGAGTGTCAAGAAAGGCGCAGAGCATGTTCTAGATAGCACGGTGCGATTGGATGTTCTCGTCAACAACGCAGGTAAGTGATGTTGCCATTTTTACATTCAAGTTGCATCGCAAGTTGTTGCTAACTCAGACGATCCTTAGGCATTGCAGCAACACCACGCGGCTACACAGAAGAAGGATACGAGCAGCAGTTTGGCGTCAACTACCTCGCGCACTTCTACCTCTTCCAACTTCTCAAGCCTCTTCTTCTGGACACGGCTGCGAACAATAACGTGAA